CCTGCTTTCGTATTTGTCGTGGATGTCTCCGGAGAGCTCCACGCGGCAGAAATACCTCTCGCTGTCGCTCCAGGTCAGGTTGTCGATCCTGATGGTGAGATCCTTGTGCCGCGGGTTGCCGAGCAGCTTGTACTTGTTTTTGTAGCTGACAGCCGTCTTGCAGAGCTCTCCGGCGCCTTGGGTGACGCACTTGAACACGACCGTCCCGTTGTAGGGCTCCCTGATCCTCCAGATGGCCGTGAGGGTCCGGTCGATGGTTTTGTAGGGGTGCGTGAAGGTGCAGGGCAGAACAGCCGTCTTCCCGAATTCACCAGTAACGTCAGACGGGACCTGAACGGACCAGCCGCTGGTCGACAGGCCTGGAAGCAAAAAGAGGCAGTTTAGGTGGGTTTACCTGGAGCCTTGCACTGCTGGAGGGGGAGTTTGGGATCCTCTCTGCGTTTGCTCTGTTCTCAGCCATCAGACAGGCCTTGGTGGGCCCTGTGCTGGCTGATGTTGGTGCTGAGGGCTTGCAGGGCATTGAACAGCCAGTTCTGTGCTGTACTTAGCTACTGGTTGGACTAAGGGGGCTGTCTCTCCAGCTTGTGTTGGAAGTAGTTTGTTGTCTGAGCTGGCATCTTGCTTTTCAAGTGAACAGCAGCAACTTAAGTTGTGGTAATGCAGTCTTCTGCAGGCACCAGCTGTTACTTTTATGCACTTGAAAGCAAGGAATTAAAAAAAAAGATAATTGACTGTGTCTAGAAGCCCAGTGGTTGTCAGCAGTGCAATACAGTAAGTTAGCAGCCCTGTATTTGAGCCTCCAGCGACATTCCCGTGTTGTAGGATTTGTTGTGCAAGTCGGTTGTTGCAATAATTTCTGGAGAAGGTTGTGATGTCTGATATTTCTAATGCTCTCATCATACAGTCACATCTTATTTGTAAGATACGGGAAGACCTAAATACTGACTCAGGAGATACTCATCTTGTCAAGGCTGCTGTGAATAGGCAAGTTCCCTATATCTCATCCCATGTGACATGTAGGAGGAAGGGAGCCCGTGTTACCAGAGCAGGTTATCATCATATGGGCCCTAGCTGCCAGTCACTTCCCAGAAAGGCCTTGCCCTTTTGTCCCAACAGGGAAAACACTGAGTTTTCCAGATTGTATGTTGCATAGAGCTGGAATTTTGCTCTCCGGGCCAAATCTGGCTACTGGGAATCCTCACACAGTTGGGGAGTTGAACCTTATTGCTGCCAGACTCAGTTTTACAATTTCTGATGATAAAAGTAGATTTCACTTGAATCAGTGCACCCCACCCTTAATGCAAATATCCCTAAATTTCCCATTGCGCTTCCATCCACCAGTAACCACAAGCATTCACAAACATCACCTGCAGGAAGCCCTCACCTTTCTACATAGATACACATATCTACAGACTGTGTTGGTAGTTATAAACACCTGCTGCACCACACTGTGGCATCAGGAACATGTTTGGCTGCATTTGTATTTTCTAAAGCTTCCCTGATGGCTTCATCAAATCAGCAGCGTTCTCAATAGCTGTGATGAGAACGCTTCGGAAAAATGCAGTGGCCACTCAGTAAATAATTGCTCCAATCCCTGGCCTGGCTGACTTCCCCTGTGATTTGTAGGCATTTAGCTGTCACGTTAATCACTGCAAATGTATTTGAAGATAAGGGCAATTCCTTATTATATATACGCTCCACAACATTTGGCAAATTCCTCCATGACTCTGCAGCTAGTATTAATTTACTGTGGGGTTTACAGTAGATAGAGGCCAGTATAGGACCAATTAAGTTATTTATCTGGAATTGGTGGCAAGCCAGTATTTTAACCGCTGGAATCTGGAATGGGGCTGCCTGGTCATTTGCTAAAACAATATAGTTGCCTTTTGCAGCCTGGCTAGTCTAACCTAGCAGGCTACATGGCCATGGGAACCCCATGGAGCTCATGGGGGGCACTAGGAACTGTCAGTAAATATGCAGAATGCTTTTGCTTTTCCAGTTTCTTTCATGTTCTTTATTTTGACACTACAGAATTAGCCCTTTTCCCTATTGATCAGCTCTCTGATTTCTTTCGGATCTTCCGGATCCTGCTCTTGCTCTGAGGGTTTCTCTGATCAGAGGCAGACTTGTGAGTACAGGGAATGAAGGGCTGACATCTCACTGTTCCCATTCCTGCCACTCTTGGCAGTGAGATGTGGCCAACAGCGGCTGCTTGGCCATGGCCTGAATACTTCATTTGAGATCTCAAGTGTGTCAGTGTAACCCCTTAGCTCTGGAGGGCTGCAAGTCATGTATTTTTCAGTACGTAATTTGCTTTCCTCTATCACCCTTCTGGTCTGCACTTCCTTTTTTACTATTTTATTCTAAGCAAAGAGCATTTTATTAGCACATAAACATCCTTTCGCCTGCCGCATGAGAAATAATGTTAAAAATTGCTTCTAATGTCTTCAGCTACATGCATATCTATAGAAACACTGTCTGTCTGAAGACCTCAAATTATGAATGGAGGGAATTGTCAGCGTCTAGTTGTAATTTCCTTGTCAAACTTTTGTTGCAAAGCTTTGACATGATGGGTCTGCCATGGCTTCCTTGTGCCATTTGTTTAGCCTGGGTTCGTTCCTGGTATTGAAGGCCTCATAAGGAGCAGAAATTCATGGACAAATAGGAGAACACCAGGTATCAAGGTAACCCATGAAAGAGGCTGTCAGATAAATGCACCTGCTAGTTGTCAGCGGAAGGATTTGAGGTCACAAACCATGGCAGAAAGACCAAGAGCTGGAGACTAACATGGACACTGTTTGGCAGTATTCTTAACCAAATCCAAAAGATTTTAATGGCATTCAAGAACATACTTAAACATGATCTTAAATACTTGGCTATATTGGGCAAACTTCATAGATTGCAAAATAATCTCTAGGAAGGTCAAACAGCGTTCCCAGATGATGGTCAAAATGCTGTACCCAACTGAAAGAAGAAAGTTAGATGAAGATGAATTCCCTCCACATTTTAAGAAAGGAAATAAACTAAAAACCCCTGTGATAACTGTGGAGTCAAACTTCAGGTTTTCAAGGATTGTCACAAGCGTCTGGAATGAGGATCCTTTTTAGCAGCATGATGGATTGGACAATTCTTAGAGAACTAGTTGTACCAGGCAATTCCACTGGCACTTTGAGTAGAGCGAGAAGAAAAGTTGTTATTAGGCAGGGAATTGTAGCAAGTTCAGAACTCACCCTTCTTGAAGATACAAAGGAGGCACAGAAGAAAGAAACGAAACCTTTTCATGCTGCTTGACATTCCCCACAGAGATGTATGAGCAAACTAGAGCTCTCTGCTACATCTGAGCTACCGATTTCTCAGTCGAAAAAGCTTTTTTCCAGGAATGGAAGAAGCTAATTTTTTTTTCCCCTCTATTTGGAGGGAATGAGTTGTCTGGCTGAGCTGGGCCTGGATTCAGATATTAATAGTTTTGTGGTCAGTCATGTGCAAAATAGAAGGGAAGGAATCGGAGTGTTACCACTTTCCAGCCCGAGGAGGAGGAGCGGGAGGGGAGCTGCAGAATGGGGCTGTGAACTCCCGCTCCGTGTGTGATGGGGCAAAAGGGACCAAGTCTCGGGTGCTACAAAATGCCTCATGGGGATGGAGTTCTGCTGGAGGAGGTCAGCACTGTCCTTGCTTGAGGCTTCTTACATCCAGACTCTGCAGGTTGGCTGTTCTCTACCCCTGGTGCTTCCTGGACACTGTTGTCCCTAGCTATAAAACACCTTTGACAAGTACTGTGCCCCAGACTGTTGTCTGAGATCGTCTTGGAAATGATGTGGTCACTTCTCATCACGAGCATCTCTCCTCTGCTGTCAGTGAGAAACATGTCCTGCAAGGCGCAACATATTTGTGGAGTAAATTTTGCTGGGCTCTTTCTGTGTCTGTACTGTCCCGTGTTTATTCCAGTGATTTTGGTCCTTGCGTTTCTATTTCCAATCAGATCTTCTAGCCATCTGTCCAGAAGATACCTGCTTTCTGTAAGCCTGGGTGGGAACTGCACACTGCTGCACCGCTTTCTGGAGTACACATATCTGACCATCCACTGGGCTCACTGGGTGGACTTGGTGGTGGATGTCATGCAGAGCATCATGCAGAGGTCCTGTCTGGTTCATAATTTGAGAACCAGCCCTAAAGACCCAGGTAGAAACGCAGCAATCCCACTTGTGGCGAGGCATGAAGCAGAGCACACCACTGATGTCTTCCCTAACTCCAGTGCCTTTCTGCTGGAGGTGGGAATTACGTTTATCCTGAATATCTTCAGCATCGTGAATATCTTCCATATCATGAGTAGGGCGCAGGGGCAGAGCCTCATTTGTGATGTCTCTCCTGCAGCGCCCCGTGGTACCATGTTCTGCCCACATTCCCATGACTCTGACAGGTCGTGAGTCATTTTCCTCCTCGTTGTTACCCTGCCTTGGAAACAGGCTGAGCTCCAGCTTCTGCTCTGAATCCATGTGCAAACACTCTATTTTCCTTGGGGTTTAGCCATAGCAAACTTTGCTGTGAGGTTTGCTAACCCGCAGGGATCAGGGCTCATGACGCTGCCCATGCTCTCAATCTCTTTTCCCCTTTAGTGATGCAAAGTTTAGTCTTGGAGAGCGTATTCCCGCTCTAGGCTGAGCCTCAAGTTTCCTTATCTTTCTTCCAGGCTTCCTCTTCTCCCGGGTCGCTGCAGGAGCCCAGTTGCCTCTCTCCTCCTGTGGACCAGGGCCGCTTCATCCCTGTGGTTTCCCATCCAGGCAGCAGCGGCTGTGCAGCCACTGGAGGGCTCCCCTAGCTAATGTAAGAGCCAAGAAGAAGCTGCTCAGTGACAGGCCCTGCTTTCCCTGCGCCCACGAACCACCTCATTCCCTCCAACACCACGGCCAGGGCTCCGCTTTGTGCCCGAGCTGGTGTGTATGAACAACACAGACCGCGCTCAGCAGATAACCCGAGTGGCAGAAACCGTGGGCGAGAGATCTGTGCTCTTATCCCATCTCTGTTATACACCTCTTCTGTCCAGATTCCCTGTTTTTCAATGTGTGCTGGGTTTAATTTTTATCTATTTGTGCTGCAAGCGTGTTGGGCTTGTGGTTGTCTCTAGAGCGCTGCACCATTCTTAGCACGGGGAGTCTCACCTGTTTAAGTGAAGTCTATGTCTAAAGTGTGTTGTCCAGTGAGGAATAAAAGACTAACAGAAGGAATAGCTGCAGTTCAAAGTTAATATGTCCCTTGCCCTTTCTTAATGTTTTATTCTGTCATCTGCTAGACTAATATCCAATAAACCTTGCCCATTCTGTAGGGGAAGCTGCATTTTCCTTAGAGGAGTGCAAATGTCACCATTTAGGGCCTGATCCAGGAGTCAGGAAAAAATCCTGTTGCTTCCTAAAGGACCTGGGGTACAGCCCATAATGACTGCATGGTGCTCAGAAATGCTTGGACCAAGGCAATAAGAACCTTGGCAATAAGTCAGGCCATTAACTTCACCGAAGGCAGCCTGGGGGCATGGGAGGTGCCTGGAGGATACAGCAGACAAGAAGTTTCTCAGCTCTTGGGTGGAAAAAATGCCCCATCCTGCTAGTGGGGATCCCCAGTGTAACGCAGAAGTATCAATTTTTTGAGCTTTGCTGGCTTTTTGACTGATTTCCTTTTCAGACCATGAGATAGTTATTAGTAATGAAATGTATTTCATACAAAGGTGAAATCTTTACAATATAGAGATGAAAATCTTTAACTGAAAATGTTTGCAAAATACTTGAACCAGCCACAGACTTTGTTTTTTAAAAATTGTCAGCGATTAATCCATAGAAATTTGGGAGAGAGTTCCTTTTTGCTTAGACTTCCTTTTGGAAAATGATTTCTTCTTGACACATGCAGTTGCACTAGAAAGTGCCCTTTTGTTCTAAAATTATATACTCTTCTTGTAGACAACATATGGTGATTTATGCCTTCAGACAGAGCGTTTCAAAACATGTCTTGGAATACACTCAGTGATTGGGAAGAGTTAATGCTTTGGGCAACTGGATCTTGCAATGCCTCTAGCAAGTGTTGCACCCTGTGATGTAAATGAAGACTTGTAGCCCAGTTGGAGATATTTGGGATGGGTTTTACTAGGCATTTGTCCGATGCTCAGGCACCGATATGTCCCTTGTCCTTGCTCAGTGCTCATTCCAGAGCGCCGTGCACGCAAGAGTTACGTCTTGTGTATCTAAATCCGAGCCTTGGTTTTCAGCCACTGGTGGAGATTCCAGAACTATGCTAATCTTTGATCTTTTCACTCCCCCTTTCAGACAAATTGCACTCGCCTTTTGCCATACCAGTGCTTATTAAAAGCCCTGACAACACAGGATAAACAAATACGAAACGCTGAGCAGCGTTTTGCTTCCTCCTAGCTGGGCAAGGTAGAAAAGGGGAAGAAATTTTCTTTTTTCTTTTTTTTTTTTTCAAATAAAATTCCTATAGTCTCTGCTCCTGGCTGTGATTTATGCTTTCTCAGAGGCAGTGAGGTGCAGCAAAGGTATGAGGTAAATATGAGGTAAAAGACAAAATAGTGTCTTTTCTTCAGTCCTGTAAAACACAAGTTCCGGCAGTTTTGCTGGGAACAAGGGAGCTTGACTCCATTTTTTTTTTCTCTTTTTCTTGCACAGTATCAGCAGGCTCGTTTACCATGTTCCAGATAATTGCATGTGAGCAAATTCACAGAGAGCAACTTGTCTACAAGGCTTCCTTCCAGAGCAGCATCCTGCTCAAGCAACCGGTTGAACAGCGGTGAGGTACAGGGAGCCATCTGGCACAAGTTGAGCATGGGCATGAAGGAATTTTCCTAGTCCTCTTCCATTGATTGATGTGATCCAGACTCAGTGTCAGCTGTAATGATCTTTTCCTCTGCTTTTGTGCTGAAATATTATTCATAATTCTGGAGACAACTTCTGATACAACAGCCAAACAGGAAGCCTTCTATATTTATCATATGGTGTTTTTTCCTTATGATAAATCTTTTTTAAGGAACGTAGGGAAGGACAACAATTGCTATTATTGGTTAATATCTTCCCTCTGTGCTCGTACTGAAGCAACAATCACAGATCTGGTTCCAGAGATACCCGAGTTTCTGTGCTTCCTTGTGCCAGGATAGCATAAGGAATTTAGAGAATGAAATTTTTGTGGGTTTTCCCACTTGGAAGATAGATGAATCCATTTAAGCAGAAAGAACATGTGATGAATCCATAAAAAAAGTAAGGGCAAGGACAAATTTTCAGCAATGGAAAGGCAGGGAGGTTTCTGTCACCCTGCCAGAGGTGGTGTCTTTGTCAGCTGGTGAGGGATGTCTCATGCTCCCATCACCTTTATGGCTGGCTGTTGTCCTGAAAATAGCAGCACTGGGTTTTTGAAGGACATTCTTGGAACATGATGTGTGGAGCTTCTAGAGAGGGTCCCGCACAGGGCCACAAAGGTGATGAAGGGACTGGAGCATCTGTCGTGTGAGGAGAGACTGAGCGAGCGGGGCCTGTTCAGCCTGGAGAAGAGAAGGCTGAGAGGGATCTGAGCAACATGTTCAAGTACCTGAGGGGAGAGTGTAGGGAGGATGGGGCCAGGCTCTTCTCTGTGGTGGCCGGTGACAGGACAAGGGGTAACGGGGACAAGCTGAACCCCAGGCAGTTCCACCTCCATGTGAGGAAGAACTTCTTTGGTGTGAGGGTGCCAGAGCCCTGGTACAGGCTGCCCAGAGAGGCTGTGGAGGCTCCTGCTCTGGAGATCTTCAAACCCGCCTGGATGCCGCCCTGTGCCCCTGCTCTGGGTGTCCCTGCTGGAGCAGGGGTTGGACTGGATGGTCTATAGAGGTCCCTCAACCTCAACCATCCGGGGATTCTGTGATTCTGTGGTGACACCAACTAATTCCTTTTAGCAACCGCCATCGACAGACTTTGCTTCCTTGGTCTTTGTCTCATCTGTCTGCCCTGAGCCCTGGTGGCACTGAGAAGATAGGAGGTGTGTGGCCTCAAGAGGTTTCTATCTTCGTGTTGCTTTGGCTGTGGTAACTACCTGCTAGTAGCACCGTGAGGAATTATAAGCCATACCAAATAGCTTAGAATTTAAGATGACTGATACTGGGCATCCTCCTCCTGCTGCTGGTATTAGCCAGAGATACAACTTCATGAGTCTTCTGGATTCACCCGTGTTGCTGCTGTCTGTGAGGATAAACTGACTCCATCTAAGGTCTCCTAGCTCCTGGGAGCTTGCAGCAGTGTTTTGTAAGGGATGGTTGTCAATCTTTGCTGGCAGAGCAGAAAACACAAGGAATTTCTTAGCAGATTGGCCCTTCCATTCCATGGTATCCCATGCTCCACATGTGGCAGACAGCAGCTTGTTCCGTAACTCCCCTGGATTTGCTTTGTGCTGAACACCTGATTAAATTGCTGCAATCTGTGTGTCTGCCTCTGTGTGTCCCAGGAGGTAGCAAAGGGCACTCAAGTTGAGGTAGCAACTCTAAGTTGCAACATGTGGCTGGAGAAGGGCATGTTAGAGCTTCTGTCACCAAGGACCTGTGCAGAGGGGTTGTCCTAATGCAAGGGTGTCTGTGCCTTTGCTGGCAATGCACCCCCTTGTGCGAGGACCAGACTGGAACCATTTGTTCCCTCCCTCTGAGTCTTAATCCCAAGGTTTTCTACTTTAATTATTTCAGTGGCACGTATAAGTCCTGCCCCTATTCCTTTGAGGGTGCCAGTCTGCACATGTTCAATGCAAAAGCCTTATGTTTTGTTGAATCTGGCACTCTTCCCTGAAGAGATTGGGCCTGCGAATTAGCTGGGAGATGAATCGAAGAGGCCGGTGGGATTTTGCCTCCGACTGCTTTCTGCCGGCTGAGCCATGCTGACTTTCTCAGGGAGCCACGGTGGCTCTCAGGATGTTCCGCCAACCTCCCCCGTGTGTCCACTTGATCCTCACTGCTGCAAGAAAAAGCCAAGTCCCTGCAGTGCAAGGAAAGCGCATCCTTGGTGTGGGGGGGACTGAGGGATGGGGGTGCCTAACCAGGCATCATTCCCATGGGTGACACCGATCCTGCTCGCTGGCACTCGGCGCCGCTCGGGACGTGGTCCCCGGTGCATCAGGCTGTGGTGTGGAAACGGGCTTGGTTGGTCATTTATAGCTTGGGTTTCTTTTTATTCCCAGGTTTTATTTTTATTACAAAGGGAGACTCTCCTGCCTGCCCTGTTGTTCCTGCACTGCCCTGGGTTGTTCCAGCAGCAAGGTGCGGTGGTGAATTCATGGGCCATCAGCAAGGATGCTGGTGAGCCCTTGTTGCCTTTAGTGAAGCAAGCTAAGCAGAATTAGATCCCTTTTTAGATGTTTTTCCTCTAGCAGGCAATCGCTGTAGGAAAAATGAAGTTTGTGTCTTTCCAACTGCTGGTGGAGGACTGTGGATGAAAGAACAAATGCATAAAGAAACATCCCTCTGGTAAGGTGTCCACATATCTCC